CTGTAGGTTTCTAAGAGCTCCCCATAAAGAACAACTTATGCAGTACAGTTAAAATCAAAGGAGTTTAATAAAATAGAAAGGACATCATCTTAGATCAGGGGTCTGCAACCTGCGGCTCTTTGGTCCCAGATCTTTCAAGCTTTGACCAAAACTGACATAAAACTGAATTTTATTGGATGTTATACAAGCAACAAAAAAGGTACTACCGTTAGTTTTAGATGTTTTCCTGTCATTTCTTTTGCAAATACTCAGTTTTTGCTTTATTTCTATACTTATTTTTTCCACAACTAAACGAATCACAAAGGTCTGCACAGTTCATATATATAATTTTTTTAATAAAAAAAAATTAAAAAAAACTATCCCCCACTACAAGAATCTGGACTTTTCATTTATCTTAAATTGTAAAAATATCAATCAATGTTAAAAATCATTAGAAATTTTTTGCTTTATAATGTCACCCCTAGTGGCCACAAAAGTCTCCTCCAGCAAACCTAAAATGGCCCATGGGCCACCAGTTGATACGCACAGTTGTAGCAGGTTGTTGCTTTTAATTTAGTGAATGAAGCCATAAAAATATCTCTTTTGATCATAAAGGTTGTAGACCCCCGTCTTAGACACTAGCTATGTTTACATGTGCAAAATTCTTTGACCAGATTGAAATGTTTTCTGATTAAATAATTCAAATGTATCGTTTACATGGGCACAATCCATTCATGATGAGTGTTTACATGCAGAGGGCTTTGTTCTGAACAGAAATACTGACGTGTGCAAAGAGGTAAACTCTCCTTTAAAAAAAAACAGAAGAAGTAGTTCTACTTCCGGTTTACTTCCGGGATGAACGTAAACAAACCTGAGCACCCAAAATGGACCTGCGACAGGTTTTAATGACGGTGGAGACGTTGCTGCACTCCCTGACTGAGCTACAGGTGATACAGATCATTTTGAGCTCTTTCAAAGTTTCTAGTAGAAATGTTGTGTCGCTCACCGACCAGTTTTGCTTCCCCGACATGCTAATATTATTAGCGTTAGCCAGGCAGAAATGACATAGGTCGCACATGCGCAGTCAGGTCAGTTTTTTACGATCGGAAAAAAATTGAACAGATCAAGTGTTTACATGGACACCGTCTGGGTTATGAATCAGAGTAAACCACCCGTTTTGTTCTGATCACTAATTCTTTCGGATCGCACTGAATAAACAAAAAATAACCCGAACGGGGTGTTTACATGACGTGCTTTAATTCCAAACGGCCATTTGATCCGATTACTTATGTCCATATAAACATAGCTACTGAGACGAGCCGCTTCACCATCATATCTGAACTGGCACCCACCATCTCCCCTACGAATAATAAGGACAGGGAATGAGTAATGCCCCCACTACACTCCCGTGCACGTCCGTCCATGCGTACGTATGCACGTACTGTCCGCAGAGGGTTCAGACTTCAGACTCGAGCGTCCACCCTGAGCGGCTGCAGTGCAGCTACACAGACAAGGGGCGTTTACCTTTGGGATAAATTGAGTTTGCCGATTGATCATTTGATGGCACGCCTCCTGGATTGATTGACAGGTCGGGAAAAAAAAAACAAGAGCTGGCAGCCTCAGCCGCAGCGGTGTTCTGTGTTTATATGTTGTTTATAAAAAGATCTAAAAAAAAAACTGAGCGCTGGCCCTGCAGCCCACACATCAGACCAGTCCACCAGGAAATCTCCAGACCCTCCCGCAGACACGCTGGACCTAAATTTAATTCGCTCGTGACAAATTCCTTCATTTCTCACCATTTCAGTCGGCATCAACGGAGGAGGAGGATGAAATCACTTGCCTTTTGGTAAAAAAACAAAAACAAATGAAAAGGCCAGATCAAGGATGAAGAAGGGGAATTTAATACATTGGTGTCGCATACAAAACAGTCCGTCGCCGGGCAGTTTATTGTGCGACACCACATACCCATCCCCCATGTTAGGGGGTTAGGGGGCATGTTAGCTCGTACCTCTGTGTACGTGCACGCATACCTCCGTGTACAGACGTATGCGGGAGTATACTGGGGGCTTAACACTCTTCATCAAGCTAATCTTTTTAACAATCTTGGATCAAAGTGGAACTGCAAGAGACCTAGACCTGAAACGGTTTTGTGGCTCGTTGGAGAAATGCCTCAGGACGTTTAAATTCTGAGCATTGTTGGTTAAAAAGCAGAAACTTGCAGTGAGTAACTGATTAGTGAAACAACTGTGTCTTTATTTCTCATTACTGAAAAAAATCCCACTTTCAGACTGCCTCGCATGCCTCTTTAACAAGTCTGACATTTTTAGAACATTTTGGTTTTACATTTGCATTTGTTGCTTCATGACATTATATTGAACCTTAAAAAAACATGATCATGAAAAAAAGATGTCAGTGGTAATTTAAATTATTTAAATATGTTTTTCTACTTCTTTAAGTTTCTTAAAAAAGTACCACCGTAAAGAAATAGTACCGTAGGTAATTGTCAAGTCTAGTTAAATATCCAAAAACCTTTTCTTTCATCTTTAAAATTATTTAAATTATTTGGTTTTCTCTTTAACTGAGTTTTTTTTTTCTCTTTCCTTCTTTCGGCTGCTTCCTTCTTCAAGGGTCGCCACAGCAAACTAAATCGCACAAAGACTTGGCAGTTATTTTTACGCCGGATGCCCATCCAGATGCAACCACAGACCACCGAGCTACCACAGCCCTCTGTGTGGAGCAGAGAGCTGCTATCTAGGACACCCAGAGGAGCAGATGGTGGGGGTTAAGGGTCTTGCTCAAGGGCCCAGAGTGGGGCGAATGAGGATGGGGGCAGGTGTGGGTGCTTCACCTACCTCACCCACATTTTTGATGTTGTCAGTACTGGGGCTTGAACTGGCGATCGTCGGATCACAGGCCCACCTCCTCTAACCTCTGCGCCACCACTCCACTCGGTGGTGGACACCAGCGGTGAGGGATGCTGTCAGGCTGAAGAAGGAGCCCTATCGGGCCTTTTTTGGGGCCTGTGGGACCCCGGAAGCAGCTGATGGGTACCGGCAGTCCAAGCAACATGCAGCTCGGGTGGTCGCTGAGGCAAAAACTCGGGCATGGGAGGTGTTCGGAGAGGCCATGGAGAATGACTTCCGCACGGCTTCGAGGCGATTTTGGTCCACCATCCGGTGTCTGGGGGGGGGAGTGGTACACCACCAACACTGTTTATAGTAGGGGTGGTGTGCTGCTGACCTCAACTCGGGATGTTGTGGGTCGGTGGGCAGAATACTTTGAAGACCTCCTAAATCTCACCGGCACATCTTCCACTGAGGAAGCGGAGCCTGGGGACTCTGGGTCGGGTCCTCCAATCTCTGGTGCTGATGTCACCGAGGTGGTTAAAAAGCTCCTCGGTGGCAGGGCCCCAGGGGTGGATGAGATTCGCCTGGATTTCCTTGATGTTGTAGGGTTGTGTTGGCTTACGCGACTCTGCAATATTGCGTGGACATCGGGGGAAGTTCCCCTGGATTGGCAGACAGGGGTGGACCGTAGAGTGTGTTCCAACTACAGGGGGATCACGCTCTTAAGCCTCCCTGGTAAGGTCTATTCGGGGGTTCTGGAGGATCCGTCGGATAGTTGAACCTCGGATTCAGGAGGAGCAGTGTGGTTTTCGCCCTGGTCGTGGAACACTGGACCAGCTCTACACTCTCAGCAGGGTCCTGGAGGGTGCGTGGGAGTCTGCCCAACCGGTCTATATGTGCTTTGTGGACTTGGAGAAGACGTTCGACCGCGTCCCTCGGGGAACTCTGTGGGGGGTACTCTGTGAGTATGGGGTACTGGGCACTTTGATAGGGGCTGTTAGGTCTCTGTATGACCGGTGTCAGATCCTGGTCCGCATCGCCGGCAGTAAGTCGGGCTTGTTCCCGGTGAGAGTTGGACTCCGCCAAAGTTGCCCTTTGTCACAGATTCTGTTCATAACTTTTATGGACCGAATTTCTAGGCGCAGCCAAGGTGTTGAGGGGATCCGTTTTGGTGGCCTTAGGATTGCGTCTCTGCATTTTGCAGATGATGTGGTCCTATTGGCTTCATCAGATCATGATCTACAGCTTTTGCTGGAGCGGTTCACAGCCGAGTGCAACACGGCCGGGATGAAGATCAGTTCCTCCAAATCCGACAGCCGAGTGCAACACGGCCGGGATGAAGATCAGTTCCTCCAAATCCGAGGCCATGATCTTGAGCCGGAAAAGGGTTGAGTGCCCTCTCTGGGTCAGGGAGGAGGTCTTGCTCAAAGTGGAGGAGTTCAAGTATCTTGGGGTCTTGTTCACGAATGAGTGAAAAATGGAACGCGAGATCGATCGGCAGATAGGTGCAGCGTCTGCAGTGAAGCGGGCACTGTACAGGTCTGTCATGGTGAAGAGAGAGCTGAGACAAAAGGCGAAGCTCTCAATTTACCGATCGATCTACGTTCCTACCCTCATCTATGGTCATGAGCTTTGGGTTGTGACTGAAAGAATGAGATCTCGGATATAAGCGGCCGATACACACACACACACACACATATATACACATACATACACACACACACACACACACACACACACACACATACATATACACACACACACACACACACATGCATATATACATACACACACACACACATCTACACATACATATATACATATACACACACACACACACACACACATCTACACTGTCACTTCTTTGGAAACCAGTGTTACATTAGTATCTCCCTGAGCCTCCCTTCCTGCCTCACAAACTCTCCACACTCCTTTTCTTCACAATATCTTCCTCTGACTCCCTCCCTGCTCCCAGAGCAGTAATGCTGCTGAGCCTGCAGAGCAGCATTCCAAATGAACAAAGAGCCACAGTCATACAGGCTGCAGGTGGAGACCAGAGGTCTTTCTCCCCAACACGAATGCACACACACACACGTATACACACCTCCTGATAATGGGAATATCATTTACCATGACCTATACAGGTGAGAGAATATATACAATATATGTGCTCACCATAAGGATGCCATGGGTCAGCTGCTGAAGCTGCAGCTCCGGCCCCAGCCCTAGACGCAGCTCCACCCCCCATTCCCCACGGGTCAGCCCTGGGACTTGGCTCAGGAACATCCATTAGATCCATTAAAGATGACTGTGGCTACAAAGAGATAGAGACATTTTGTAAGAAACAACAAAAAATAAGGAAGAAAATCAAAGCCAAAAATAAAACCAAGATGAGATTAGGATTTACAGAAGTCAAGTCAACTTTATTTATAGAGCACATTTAAAACAGAAAGCCTAGGACCTTGTCCCAAATGGATTTTATTTCCCACCACAAATCTGTTTTTCATGTTGTCATTTAAAAAATATTCTCAAAAAACACAACACCATTTCTAGAAAGGCTTTCATCCACGTGTACACACAGAAAACAACCCAAAATGCTGTAATATGCCAGGCCTGAATGTGGCACTGTAACAATGCCACAAAAAACACACACCAAAAACAGGAAACAAGCCATGAAGCAAATGCACAAAGATTACACATCTCATAGAAGGGAAAAAAAAAAAAATATATATATATATATATATAATATATATATATTTATTTATTTATTTTCCCGTCTTTCAGCTGCTCCCTTTTTCAGGGGTCACCACAGCGAACTATGTCGCACGAAGACTTGGCAGTTATTTTTTACGCCAGATGCCCTTCCTGATGCAACCACAGACGACCGCTACCACAGCCCTCTGTGTGGAGCAGAGAGCTGTTATCTAGGACACCCGGAGGAGCAGATGGTGTGTGTGTGTGTGTGTATATATATATATATATATATATATAAAATATATATTTATCAGCGCTGATTGCACAACTCCAAGCTCGATACACTCATGCCAACATGTGTAGCATCCATATTTACAGTGGTGCTTGAAAGTTTGTGAACCCTTTTTAATTTTCTATATTTCTGCATGAATATGACCTAAAACATCTTCAGATTTTCACACAAGTCCTAAAAGTAGATAAAGAGAACCCAGTTAAACAAATGAGACAAAATTATTATACTTGGTCATTTATTTATTGAGGAACATGATCCAATGTTACATATTTGTGAGTGGTAAAAGTATGTGAACCTCTGGGATTAGCAGTTAATTTGAAGGTGAAATTAGAGTTTTCAATCAATGTGATGTCGATCAGGTGTGAGTGGGAACCCCGTTTCATTTAAAGAGCAGGGATCGATCAAAGTCTACTCTTCACAACTTGTTTGTGGAAGTGGATCATGGCTCGAACAAAGGAGATTTCTGAGGACCTGAGAAAAAGAGTTGTTGATGCTCATCAGGCTGGAAAATATTACGAAACCCTCTCTAAAGCAGGGCTTAATTTGTAAACTGACTGAAGCCGGAACAGCGGGCAGGCCGGGGGAGGGGTGTCCGTGGGTTCTCTCACAGAAAATTTTGAATAACAGAGATGCCATTTCCTGCATTTTGGTGTATTTTAATGGGTTGTTATACATCAACATTTATTTATATTTGTAAACAATAAAATTACTATTTTGGAGAAGAACAGCAGATTGTGTGAATGAGCAGCTCTGATTCTGTCAGGTGTCCTAAACCCCCTCCTCCCTCCCCTCACTTCATGGTTCTGACCTGAACTCGTCTCCGCTCCTGCTCCAGTCTTGTATGTGGCACTGTTTGAACAACCCGAAGGACAATCCATCTATCCATCCATTTTTTTATTCAAGTAAATTGGACTGTCTCTGACATTTTGATCGCTGTTATTTGGACAAATTAGCGCCGTTGTTTTGAAACGTGACGTATAATGTGAATAGCGCATCAAACATTTCTCTCTTTGTAGCCTATTTTAAATTTATTTGTTACAGTAAGCTTTTTTTATTTATCATGTCTGAAATGTAGCAGGAGTTCAGACACCTGCTGATGTGCGCGCTGTGTAGAGCTGTCTGGAGACGCTGTGCGTAACGTGCACTGTCTACAGGAAATTTATTTATTCTGTTGAATAAATGATCGTTTCTGTTTCAGGGGTCTGAGAGGAGGAGAGGGGGTGTTTTTCAGTGCAGAGCCCCACTTAGTAGGGACAATATTTGGAGAGGAGGAGGAGACAAGGATTCTGCACAGAATCTCCGTGCGTAAATGTGACCATCTGTCCCTCCGTCCCTTCCCAGAGGCTCCTCTCCTGCTCCTTAAAGGAGCGTGTAGCTGGTTTGCCGCGCGTACTGCGGCTGCAACGTCACTCCACAGACTGGGTCCACTGGACTAAGGGCAACGTCTCTGCTCGTTGTATTAATAAAAAAATAATCAAAGTAAAAATGCGCGATGACTTTGAACTTTTAGGGGCAGAGCTGCCAGATCAGAGCAAAGAGTTGCCGGAACAGAACGGGTCAAAATGAGAGAGTTCCTGGATCTTGTTACGGCAGGATCCGGCTCAAATTAACCACTGTTCTAAAGAGTTTGGACTCCACCGAGTCAGACAGACTGTGTACAAATGGAGGCGATAAGGGGTGTAACGGTACACTAAAATCACATTTCGGTTCGTATCAGTTTCAAGGAGGGCTCGGTCCGGTTCATTTTTGGTACAAAAAAAAAGGCCAAAATAAAGACTTACAAAATGTTTATTTTGAAAATATGCCAAGTAAACAGTTTGTATAAAAATAAATAAAAAGTGACCCATTTGGATGATATTTTAAATAAAAGCCACTCTTTACAATAAATAAACTAGGCTAACAATAATGAAAATCTTAAAAATACAATAACAGTCAGAACCAGAACAATGAGCAGCAACAGACTATTTACAATTTAATCAAGTTTTAAGTTTTTGCCAAAAAGACCAACTTGTCCACATTTTCTGCCAAAAGCACAGATCTAGTTGCATCTACATCATCTCCAGTGGTGGAGAAAACCACTCACTAACAACAGTAGCAGGAATAAAGAGGTAGAGCTTTGCTAATTTTGCAGTGTGGCTGTATTTGGCTCATTACTCACAACCTCTTGGACCGGCTCCCACAGGTGGGACAGGTCCCTGGAAAAGTTCAAAGTTCACTCATCACAGACTTCTTAGCTGGAGGTGATTTCTAATTTCCCTGAAGAGGAAGAAGACTCAGCTGCTATCTCTGTCCCAGACTGGAAATAAAATACAAAGAGGTATTAAAAAAAAGAGTTAATAAGATTATAATTTTAAATAAAAAAAAAAGCTAATTAAATAATGATAATAAAAGAACAATACCTCTTCTTGAACGGTTGTTAAGAGGTGGTTGAATCTCTCAGTCATCATCATCATCATCAGGGCAGGGCTTTAATCTGGTCCGGGGCTTGTTGACGATAAGTTTTAGATTTTTCATAAAGTGCTGCTACAACTTTTTGGCTGAAGTGTAGATGGGATGTCACAGCGAAGCTCAATAACTTTAAAGCCGGCGCATCAACAACAGAAACGTAGATCCAGAGCTTTAAAAACTCCTACAGCTTGTGTTTTTGCTTTGGACCGATCTGAATTACCTGATAAAGGCTGTTTAAATGCTGCTGTTATCTGTCTTTGCACCAACCAAGCTGCTAGAAGAGACGTTCACGTTCGGATGATGTCGTTTCAAGAGCGTTATCAAGTTAGACGTGTTACTGCTGTAGATCCAATCTCCGTGAAGCAACGTCGACACACAGCTTTGGATTTGCACTTGTCTTTTCACAAGAAAGCCATAATGTTCCCAAACAGGAGACCGCAACGACATGCTAGGCTGCTAATGCTACGTGTGCTGCAAGATAATAGCGCTGTGCTGAAACGCGCATAGGAACTTTAGTTCCGCGGCGCATAATCTCTCGTTAATAAAATTTAATTAATGAAAAAATAACTGAAATGGTACGCACGTGGACCGAACCGAACGTGCTGTACCGAAAGGGTTCGGTACACCCAAGTGTACCGTTACACCCCTAGGAGAGTCAAAACCATTGTTACCCTCCTCAGGAGTGGTGGACCAACAAAGATCACTCCAAGAGCAAGGAGTGGAATAGTCTGCGAGGTCACAAAGGAGCCCAGGGTAACTTCTAACAACAGAAGGTCTCTCTCACGTTGACTGATGTTAATGTTCATGAGTCCACCATCAGGAGAACACTGAACAACAATGGTGTGATGGTGGAGTTGAAGGAGATAGACACTGTTCTCCAAAGAGAACAATGCTCTCGTCTGAAGTTTGATAAAGATCACGTGGACAATCCAGAAGACTGTTGGAAGAACGTTTTGTGGACGGATGAGACCAAACTAGAACTTTTTGGTTTAAATGAAAAGTGTTCAGTTTGGAGAAAGGAAAACACCACAGGAGAACCTTATACCATGTGTGAAACATGGTGGTGGTAGTATCATGTTTGGGCCTGTTTGGTAGGACGGCTTGCCATCATTGATGGAACAATGAATTCTGAATTATATCAGAGAATTCTAAAGGAAAATGTCAAAACATCTGTCCATGAACTGAATCTCAAAAGGTGGGTCATGCAGCAACACAATGATCCTAAGCACACAAGTGGTTCTACCAAAGAATGGTTCAAGAAGAATAAAGTTCATGTTTTGGAATGACTAAGTTAAATTCCTGACCTTAATACAATCAAGATGTTGTGGAAGGACCTGAAGCAGCAGTTAATGCGAGGAAACCACCAGCATCCAGAGATGAAGCTGTTCTGTACTGAGGAATGGGATAAAACTCCTCCAAGCTGATAAGCAGGACTGATCAACAGTTACTGGAAACATTTAGCTGCAGTTATTGCTGCACCGGGGGGTGGGGGTCACACCAGAAAGCAAAGGTTCACATACTTTTAACAGTCACAAATGTGTAACATTGGATCATTTTCCTCAATAAATAAATTATCAAGTATAATATTTTTGTCTCATTTGTTTAACTGGGTTTTCTTTATCTACTTTTAGGACTTGTGTGAAAATCTGATGATGTTTTGAGGTCAGATTTATGCAGAAATATAGAAAATTCCAAAGACTTCCCAAACTTTCAAGCACCACAGTACTTCTGTACATTTCTACCAAGGACCAGCTGGAGAAAAAGAGTTTTCCTCACGATGTTCAAACCAGATCAGGGTAAACACAAGTGCTGGTCTTTTTAAAACTATGTCTGTTGGGTCATTAAAGCACAAAAATCATGGTTTAAACATACAAATAAGTCTTTAGACACAGACAAACAAGAGACGGTGTCATTGAAATGTACTGCGTTCTAAAAACCCCGTCTGATATTTTGGCAGAATAATGTTGAGAAAACTTTGCTGCACGTTTGTTTGCAGAAAGGAGAAGCCGAGGTCAGGTAGAAAAAGAGGGCAGGGAAATAAAAGACTATTTCAGAAGCATATTCATGTTAAAGGAATACCGCCCCCCTTCCCCACCCCACACCAAGTCCAAATGGTTTGCTTGAATTTACCTCTTTCTTCTTTTTGGGGAGTTTTGCCGAGTCTGGACCTTCTTTCTTACTTTCCTCCAAGGCCATCTGTAGTCTCAGGTCATCTCCTCTACGTAGACGCTCCTCCTAAATAAAAACACGTCAATGAAAATATCTCCCTTAAAGTTTAGACCTAATGGCAAGGCTAACACTGCTAAACATAATTCTCTATTCATAACAAGCCAAAAGCAAGTATAATAATTTAATTTATAACAAGTTTCTGTAGTTTGTAAAACCCAACATGAACATGTTGGAACGTGCGTGTGTGTGTACCTGTTCTGCAGCTTCTCTGCTCATGGCTAAGGCAAGTTGTAGCTGGAGTTCCTCCTCTCCACTGGTCTGAGGTCTAGCCTGCTCCAGCTCTGAACCCGCGTTTGGGGAAGTAGCTAAAACAACACACATTTAGGTTGCATGGTAAAAATCACAATAACCACAAACATCATTTAGAATTAATATCAGATAAATCACGTCACTGGTTGCAAATATCATTTTCGTTAAAGTTACTGTAAACAAGAATAAAGACACTGACACAAAAGGACAGCAGATCCCATTTTACTTGAACTGTATAAAAATAGCATTTGTATTTGCACTACTTGAGTGTTTCTCATGAGGCTCACTGAGGACCTGTGATCATGTCAATTCAGCTAATTGGATTGGGACAGGCCATGTGGCAGCCAAAAGAAACAACGCACAGACTGCATGTGGCCAACATACACACACACACAATCTGGCTAGAAGTCAACATGAGGATATTTATTAAGGTAGGCAACAAAGTCTTCTTTAAAGGGACAGTTAGGACATTTTGAAGTGAGGTTCTAAAGAACAGTTAGAAACAAAATCTTGATGTAAATAGCTTTTTGCACAACCTCAGTATAGAGAAATAAAAAAGTTTCATTCTTGCAGAATAAATTAACTAAAAGCTAATCTAGGCAAAATAATTCATGTCATTTTTTATAAGCCTTTATATTCTTGTATATTTTACATTATATGGCTGTTCTAGAAGAACATAATATAAGATTCCTGCACCAGAAGTGCTAAAGATAATAGCTTCTGCAGCTATTTTCAACAACAGTGTCTGCTATCCTGTTAGAATGTAACTATTTTTCCAAACTGCGAACAGAAAGTTATCCTCAACAGGTAAGATATTAGTTGTTCATAACCTTTTCACAGAACCCTACTTCAAATGATCAAGACTATCTATTTAAATCATTTAAGGACTTTGTGGGATTGAGTTTAAAAGCTGCAGCTATGATGTTTCCACTGGAACGGCCACATTTCTGGTCTTCTGTTTCATGTCTGTGCCTACTAGTTTGTGTCTGTGTGAACATTGTGGGTGTGTGATGGTGTTTGAGCTGTAAACCTGTTTTCTTCAGTTTAACCCATTATTGTCCAGGTGATGATTCACATCTGAACATGATTTTTTTCTTTAATAAAAAGGGCAGCTCTGACAGCCCTTTAAGCCTTAAATATTGTTGTTTGACTTAAAATATTTTTACTCGCCTTTTGTCCACCTACTTATTTCTTTCCCTGCATAAGCGTTTGCAAAAAAAACCACACAATTAAAAAAAAAACTCATATTAAATGAATTATGTAGGATGGAAGCATGCTGATGTTCAAAGAACACAAAGAAATAAGAGTGACACATGTATGACACAAATGACTTATTTGACCAGAAAAATGCCATAGCTCACAACCATAACATCTGAAGTTTGACACCTCCCCAGACAACGTTTAATCTTTCAGTTACGTGGAAATGTATTAAAATAGAGACGCTTCCTGTAACAATTAAAATCTACCTGACCTCCTTTGAGGTTCTTGGTTAGGTTTATAGTGTGTTGACAAAGAAGAAAGAACACAACCAGCATTCGTACAGACTCATGTTTGTGCTGCTGTTGTTTTGGCACATTGTTTTTGTACCATTGGTGCTTAGTGTATTCTTAGTTTAGTGAATGTAGTATATTCTTAGTTCATGACTCGGATCGTACTAATGTTTTTCTTTACAATATGTATTTTTGTTGAATGTAACTGGGACCCTCTGTGTACATAGTATCGTTCCATCTCATGCATCACATGTGATGTGAATGACAATAAAAATCCTTGTATCCTTGTAAAAATGAATTACCAACATAAAAGAAGAAGTGGTATAAATTCTTAAGTTTGCCTGATTTTAGAAAAGTAACGTATAAAAGCAACAGTTGAACTCAAGTTTGTTTGTTTTTTCCTACATTGTCAGCACCACCGTCATTTGAAATAAAAATGTCAGAAAATAAAACTCCTTTAATTAAGAAACCTCATCTTGATTCAGGAATTCTGGACAATTATAGACCTATCTAAAATTACAGACATATTTAAAATTATAGACCTATCTGAAATTCATCAAAAAAATTCTTGAGCAAATAGCTGCAAATCAACTGTGTGAACATCTGCAAAGAAATAATCAGTTTCAGTCAAGAGTTTAGAGCTCACTATAACACAGAAACAGCACTAGTGAACATTACTAATGATATTCTCATGGCCTCAGACAATGGACAGGTGTCTACACTGATCCTGTTAGACCTCAGTGCTGCATTTGATACAGTTGATCACAATATTCTACTACAGAGACTTGAATATGATATTGGGATTACAGAAATGGCTCTAAAATGGTTTAAATCATATTTATCTGATAGATTCCAGTTTGTAAATCTAAATAATGAATCTTCTTCATTCACAGTGGAGTTCCTCTGGGTTCAGTGCTAGGAAAAATACTCTTTACTTTGTATAGGATTCCATTATGTAAATTTATTAAACAGCATGTGATAAATTTTCAATGTTATGCTGATGATACATGGTTATATCTGTCCATGAAATGAAACCCAATGAATCTAATCAGTTACTTAGATTACAAGCATGTCTTAAAGACATGAAAATCTGGATAACTCTTAATTTTCTACTTTTAAACTCAGACAAAACAGAGGTTGTAGTATTAGGACCAGAGCATCTTGAGAAAAAAAACTTTGCAGCCTTTCACTTCCTCTAGATGGCATTAATTTGGCCTCCAGTTCTTAAGTTAAAAACTTTGGTGACATTTTTGATCTGGATATGACTTAAAACCCCACATAAAAAAAATTCCAGAACCACTTCCCTCCAGCTGCATAATGTCACTAAGATTAGAAACATCTTGTCCAAAAATGATGCAGAAAAACTGGTCCATGCATTTACAAAGCCTAGGCTGGCCTATTGCAATTGTTAATTACCTGGGTGTCCAAAAATTATTTAAAAAGTCTTCAGTTGATCCAAAACGTTGCTGCCAGAGATTTAATGAGAGTTCAAGTTCAAGTCAAGTTCAAGTAGGTTTTATTGTCATTCGCATCGCATGTGGTACATGACTTTGGACGATTAAAACGGATTTTTTTTTTTTTAGATGGCCTCCCTTCTCCCCTTACAGCCATCCTCTCCACACCATTATTATGAAATATTTATTATAGTGACTATCTAGTGTAGGTTTTTTTTTTTTTTAATAGGATAGAAAGAAAGAAGACAAAGTAAGACTCCAAAATATAAGAAATATACACAAAGAGAGCACACGTCAAAACACCCGGCCACTGTCTGTTCACCTGCAAAGAACAGGACAAAACACAGCAACAAAATACATATGTATAAAGAACTTAAAATATTCATGGCTTTGCAGTAAGTTTCCATAAATATATATACCCATACCTACATACACATGAATATACACTCACATACATATCTATATATCTACATATAAAGCCTACATAAACATCCCTGCTTCTATTTGTGTGTGGTTGTGAGCATGCATAAGTGTATAAGGCTTCTCTAATAGAACATTTATTAGTAACTGTGAAGCAGCAGAGACCCGACCCCCAAGACCAGAGGCAGACGAAAAAGGGGGGACCAGAGCCCAAGACCCCAGGAGGGACCCCGACCGCGGAGCCCCCAGAGCCACCCACACAGGACGAACCACTCACCCACCCCCCAGAACGGACCACAGGGGAGAACCGGAAGATCCCCACCAGCAACCACATACAGTGACCCCCCGGGGCCAACAGCGACAAACTCATAGGCCTCCGTCGGCACCCGCCGCACCGATGTAGGTCCAGGTCCAGGCACCGAGGCCCGGGCACCGAGGACTCACACCACCCAGGCCAAGGCTCGACAGGGCCAGAGGACCCGAGCCCCACCAGGCAGACACCAGGCCGAGCCGACACACGCCCAAGCTCCCAGCCCCCGATACCAAGGGCCCCAAGCGCGCCGGCAGGCAAGGGCACACCCCACCAGGGGGCCGCGCGATAGGGGCGCGATGCCAAGCATCCCCAGTTGTATCAAAGAGGGGGCAGTTCGAGTCTCGGCCTAACAAATACCCATTCATACACAGACACAATCACACAATCCCAACCTCAATCTCACATTCACTCACTCAAAGACATACAATAACGATACATTTCATTCTTATTCCCGATACGCACTCTATACCCCCCAGGTCCAAGACATGTACCCGCCCTCTACATTAAAACGGATTTTAAAGAAGAGAGAGAAAGGGAGGGGTCATTGAAGAGCACCGGAGTTGAGCCTTTTGTCATCCAGTGTCCAGAAGAAAGAGAGAGACACGAAGAAACGGTAAAACCGATAAATGAAAATGAAGTTGATAATTTTCATGCATTATGCGATTAATAAATTTATTGTTTATCGCGACAGGCCTATTTCCAAAACAAAAAAAATACAAAATTTGCAGGCACAATGCAGCAAAGACTGTATTCAGTCAAAAGGACAACTGACAAACATTTAAATGTACCTGCTATCAGTAACACAATCTTTAACAGATTGAAAACATTAAGCCTCTCAACAGACTACATAGTGCAGAAAATCAAATAAATCTCAAAGCATTGCTTTATATATATATATATATATATATATATATATATATATATATATATATATATATATATATACACACACACACACACACACACACACACACACACACCACTGGACCTCTGCAGGCTGCAAAGGTGATTGGCTTTTGTTATTGGCACTGAAAGGTATCGATCGGTATCGGCCGATCAAATACTTTTTAAAGGAAATTGGCCGATCATGATCGGTGGCATATCAATCGGAACATCTCCAATCCTTAACATCCGTTTTTTGTCTTTCCTCCAATAGAAAGTGCACCTGGACCTGTCATTCTATGATTGTGTGTTTCTCCTTCCTGTTCTCTCAAACACCAGCCAGTTGAAGCAGATGGCCACTCGTCCTGAGCCTGGTTCTGCTGGAGGTTTCTTCCTGTTAAAAACGAGGTTTTCCTTTCCACTGTCGCCTTTGTGTTTGTTCAGGATGGGCAACTGTGACAAAGTGAAGATTCAACACAATCTGCTGGCTTCATAAA